ATCTATCTATCTATCTATCTATCTATCTATCTATCTATCTATCTATCCATCCATCCATCCTTCTTCTCTCTCTCCCCCCATCTACCTATCTCTATCTCTCTATCTTTAACTATTATCTCTCTATTAATCTATCCTCTCTCTCTCTCTCATCTCATCTCTCTCTTTCTATTCTCTATTTCTCTCTATTATGTCTCTCTTGTAATCTTTGAGATACACACATACACACACACACACATCTGCAACATAGAGGAATCCTCTAGTCTTACCCCATTAAAACATGCCCGATTGCCAGTCCTTAAACGAACGTGAGCATTAGCCTTCCAAAATATTTTAATTGGCCGTATACATCTTCTTTATAGCCAATAAGGTTTTGAAATGATTGCATTCTAACCAGGGATGGCACATCTGCATTGCCAACTAACCCAACAGCGGTTGGCCGGATCCTGCCCTGTTGAACTGGCCAAGCTGCAGTTACAGGGACTTCACTTCAGTTTAGTGTGCAAACTAAGCGTAGGCGTCCCCTTCCGTGGCATCTACTGTACCTGTGGGACCGACGCGCTCCTTCGCCTTCTCAGTTTCACTGCTTTCCTCCGACGGCTCTCCGCATTTAGCCGGGGACGCCTTAAACCTAGTTTAATTTAACCGTGGTCTGCCTGTCCAAGTAAGCCCCTGGCTGCCTTCTCCGAGCAAGCCGAGGCCGCGAGGCGTCTCCTTTCCCCGTTGCGCGCTGGACTCCTGCACGCAATCGGCGGGCGGCGCGGTGCCCGCGGGCGCTGCCATCCGTCCTCCGCACCAGCAGGTGACCCTAAGCAAGCTTCGGTTCTCCGCCTGCCATCGTCGCTGCCCGGACGAAGCTCGGTGATCTCGGTCACCGGGACACGCCTCGCCGCCGGGGGCGACCGGGAGAAGAAGAACGCCCGGGGCCTGGCTTGGCCAGGTGAGCTCCAACAGGTGCGCCCGCTCGCGCGCTCTCCTCGGCCGGCCGGCCAGCCTGACTGGGTTGGGGGGGGCGGGGGGGGGCGGTGGGCGAAGTGTCCGGGCGATCGCAGTCGGGAGCGCTCCAGCCCATCGGGGGCGCGCTTCGGCCGCCCGCCGGTGCGCGATGCTCCGGGGTTTTTCGGAGAAAAGGCTGGAGGAGGAGGCGGCGCGCAAGGAACGCGCCACAGGTTGCGCTTGGGCACAAGCGAGGCCGGGGCTCCGTTCAGCCTATGAACGGGATTGCAACTCCCATGCGCCGCGGCCGGGGGCGGGGAGGAGGAGAAGGAGAGGACCTCCGTAGAGTTAGTTCGCGCGGTGAGCTTGCTCTAGTCTAAGGGATATGCCTCGTGGCTTGGTGACGTTCATGGCTTGGGTGGGCTCTGGTTAAGGAGGGAGGGAGGGCTTGTCCTGTGTGCCGGGGGAGGGGATCCAACCATAGATCCCACGTGGCTTGGTCGGGGAAGGATCAGGAGGAACCTCTAGTGTTGTATTTTCAACCTTTGGCAGCTTTAAGAAGGGTGGGATTGAAGTCCAGTCTTGAGTGTTGAAGTACAGGTGTGGGAACACCTGAAAGAAAACCAGGACAGGGACAGAGAAAATCTAGGTGGTTGCTAAGATTGGATAACAACTTGATGGCACCTCATCCATCCATCCTTTTATTCATTCTGTCGTTGGCTTCTCTGCATCTCCATCACCATGTCTTCTCTGATATGCATCCATCCATCCATCCATCAATCTATCCATCCATCCATACATACATGCATACATTTATTAATACATCTATCCATTCATCCATTGATCCATCATCCATCGATCCATTTATTCATCCATCCATCTGTCCGTCCAACCATCCATCCATCCATCCATCCATCCATCCTTTTATTCATTCTTTCATTGTCTTCTCCGTATCTCTCTCACCATGTCTTCTCTGATATCCATCCATCGACCCATCCATCCATTCATCCATACATACATTTATTAATACATCTATCAATTCATCCATCCATCCATCCATCCATTTATTCATCTGTCCATCCATCCATCCATCCATCCATCCATCCATCCATCCATCCTTTTATTCATTCTGTCATTGTCTTCTCCGCATCTCTCTCACCATGTCTTCTCTGATATCCATCCACCCATCCATCCATCCATCCATCCATCTATCCATCTATCCATTCATCCATCCATCCATCCACCCATCCATTCATTCATCCATCCATCTACCCATCCATCCACTCATCTCTTTCCACATTTCCCTTCTATTCCACTGCAGAAGGATGGTGGCCATGCTGTTGTGGGTGGCCCTCAGCCTGTGTGGCTGGCTCTCCCTCTACGCCTGGTCCTGCCACCACTACCGAGAACGCGCCTGCGAATGGAGCTGCCGGCTGGTCACGTTGACTCACGGCGTCTTTGCCACCTGCCTCTCTGGCTACATTGGGTTTATCGATGGTCCCTGGCCAATGACTTACCCAGGTATGTCCGGCCCATTTCCATAGAAACAAACCTTGGTTCTCCCTTTATTTTTGGAGTTCCCGCAACAAGCCACGATGAAACCACGCCACTCAAGAGTACAGGTATTCCTCAACTTACAACCATTGATTCAGTGGCCATTCAAACAGCACTGAAAAGTGTGACTTAGGGCCAGTTTTTCACACCCATGCTGTGACCATTGGCAGCACTCCTAATGTTTGGAAATTGCAAGTGGATCACATAACCTGTCATGCCCTTGGTAGTCGGACTCTGAGGGAGAGGAGGAACAGCTGACAGGGAGTGGAGGTGTGGCTCCGGGGGTTGTGGAGGAGGCTGGGGAAGGGCAGAGGCCGGCTGGGCAGTTAGAGGAAGAACCAGGCTCATTCCCTCTCCATCCTAGGACATGCAGGGAGGAATGGAGAAGGAAACAACTTGGCTTACGAGAGAGGAAGTGGCCATGATCCCCCTCATTGGTTGCAGCTGGGGAGACTAGTATATAAGAGAGATGGTTACAACACAGCGTTGCCAGAAGCAAAGCGTGTTTTATTTTGGGCTGAAGTTATCTTGGTTGGCGTCCTTCCAACAGACTGTGCCTTGTTATCTCCTTGCAGTTGGTAATTACTTATCCTGGTCCGTTGTGGAATTTCCTTCATTGTAGTTTGTTTGGTTTTTTTTATTTCACCTCTATCTGCCCATTAAGTTCGGACTGTATTGCTTTCTTTCGAAGACTATTTTTGAATAAGTTTTCTCTCCAACTGAGAATTATTGAGCAGTGGGGCCAAGTTGGAGGCATTAAAGGACATTTATTTATGTTTCGGATTTTGTTACGCTTGTGTTAACACTCCAGGTCATCACATAACCCAGTAGGTCCATTTGTAACCTTCCCAGCCAGCCTTCTAACAAGCATAGTCAATGGGGAAAGCCCGACTCACTTAACAATGGTGAGACTCATTTAACGACTGCAGCGATTTTTCTTAATAGCTGTGCAAAAAAGCTTGTAAAATGAAGCACACTTTTTTTGTCTTGCCTTTGCTCTGGAATGGAAATTTGGGGCTCTATTATGGCCGTCATTGGACCTTCATTTGGAGGCCAGGAAATCAGCAATTGCCCTTTTAAACACAATTCAGAAAGAGGGCAGAAATAAGTCCACCTAGGAATGACTTCCATCTAAATTTACAATACGGTGTCCTGTTCTTTATTGATCGTAATTAACATGCAGTGTGACATCTTATTAACTTGTATGTATTTTATGATACGAGTTAGTTAACTGGTCCCACCAATCTTGGTTTTCTTTCCTTGACGTGAGGAAATAAAAATGCTTGTAAAAACAATGTGAAATCCAATAACAACGTGTGTACAGGAATAAATAATACCAACGTTTCAATCTGGACCCAAACCTACTGTGTTACTCTGATCATAAATTATTTTGTTTAACTCCCTCCTGCCCTTGATCCTAGTAGTAGCTCACTTCCTGTATCATGCCGCAGAGAGGAGGGGATCAAACTATTTTCTAAAGCGCCTGTAGGCCAGACAAGGAATAATGGATGGAAAGTGAACAAGGAGAGAGATTCAACCTGGAAATAAGGAGGAATTTTCTGACAGGGAGAACAATCCATCAATGGAACAGAAGTTGCCTTCGGAAGTTGTGGCAGCTTCATCACTGGAAGCTTTCACGAAGAGACTGGACTGTCACCTGTCAGAAATGGTGTAGGGCCATGATGGCGAACCTATGACGTGCGTGCCACAGGCGGCACGCAGAGCCATTTGTGCCGGCACGCAAGCTGCAGGCAAACTTACCTCACTGCGCATGTGCGTGCCTCACAGGTGATTTTCGGCTGGTTTGAGGCCTTTTTCAGCCTCCCAAAGGCTTGAGGAAGGCTTCTGCCGGCTTTTCAGGATGAAAACTAGCCACATTTCATCACTTCCTGTTTTTCCGAAAATACCAGAAGTGACGAAACAGGGCTAGTTTTCAGCCTGCAAAGCCTGCAGAAGCCTTCCTCAAGCCTCTGGGAGGCCGAAAAAGCCCTCAAACCAGCTGAAAATCAGCTGTGAGGCACAGTGCAGGTCAGGGGGCAGCAGGGGTGGGTGAGGGTGGAGAAGGATTGTGCGCGCATGTGTAGGGGACATGAGTGTGGGTGCGTATTTCCTTCTAGGTGCAAGCGTGTGCACAATTTTTGGCATAGGAGCCCCAAAAGGTTAGCCACCACTGGTGTAGAATCTCCCGCTTGGGCAGGGGTTGGACTAGATGACCTACAAGGTCCCTTCCAACTCTGATTATCTGTTATTACAGACCCATAACCGGTAGTGGAGGGGCAGAATAATAATCAAAAATTATTCGTCAAACCAAATGAAATATTTGACTCTCTGGTGGTATTCAGCAGTTTTTTTAAAAATTAAAATCTAGTCTAGGTAGTCCTCAACTTACAACAGTTCATTTAGTGACCGTTCAAAGTGACAACATCACTGAAAAACGTGACTTATGGCCGTTGGTCACACTTTGTAACCATGGCCGCACCTCCATGGTCACGTGATCAAAATCCAGATGCTTGACAAGTGGCTCCTACTTATGATGGTCGCAGCGATCCCCTTTTCTGCTCTTATGACAACCGTGTGGCTAATTTAACAACGGCAGTGACTCACTTGAACAACTGTGGCAAGAAATGGGGCAAAATTCATTTAGCCACTGTCCCACTTAGGAACAAAAATGTTGGCTTCACTTGTCATCATACGTGACAAGATTCTAGTAACTGTGAGATCTGCGTGTCAGTTGTGATTAGAATCGGAATAGAGCTGGAAGGGACCTTAGAGGCCTTATAGTCCAGCCCCTTACTCAAGCAGGAGACCCTACGGCTGTCCAGTCTCTTCTTAAAAACCTCCTGTGATGGAGCACCCGTGATTTCTGAAGGCAACTTCTGTTCCACTGGTTAATTGTCTTCACCGTTAGGACTTTCTCCTCAATTCCAGGTTGCTTCTCTCCTTGATGAGTTTCCATGCGTTGTTTCTTGTCCTGCCTTCAGGTGCTTCGAATAATAATTTGACTCTCTTCTTTGTGGCAACTCCATAAATACTGGAAGACTGCTATCATGTCCCCGCTAGACTTTCTTTTCTCTAGACTAGACATACCCAGTTCCTGCAACCGTTCTTCATATGTTTTAGCCTCCAGTCCCCTAATCATCTTGGTTGCTCTTTGCGCTCTTTCTAGGGTCTCAACAATGTTTTTGTTATGTGGGGACCAAAACTAGATGCAGAATTCCAGGTGTGGCCTTACTAAGGCTTTATAAAGCGGTGCTAATCCTTCCCGTGATTTGGATTCTATGCCTCTGTTTATACAACCAAGGATTTTATTGGCTGCTGCTGCCGCACCCAGCTGGCTCGTGTTTAAGGGAGCGTCCATTAGGAATCTGAGGTGCCTCTCACAGTGACTGTTCTTTTGAGCCAGCTTTTGCCTAATCTCTACTTGTACCGTTGACTTTTCTCTCTTCCTCTTCTCCTCCTCTAGGCTTCCCAAACACGGTGCTCCAGGTCCACGTCTTGTGCATCAGTTTGGGCTACTTCCTGTTTGACTTGGGCTGGTGCGTCTACTTCAAGGCTGAAGGGCCTTTGATGCTAGTCCACCATTCTGTCAGCATCCTGGGCATCAGCGCCTCCCTGGCCTTGGGCGAGTCGGCCGCCGAGGTCAACGCCGTCATCTTTGGCAGCGAACTGACCAACCCCTTCCTGCAGGCCCGCTGGTTTCTGCGGGAGAAGGGGCTGTACCCCAGCTTGGTAGGGGACGTGGTGGACTTCCTCTTCGTGGTACTTTTCACGGGCGTGAGGATCGGGGTCGGCGCTTGGCTGATGTACTGCGTGTTGTTGTCCCCCAGGCCCCGGGTCTTCATCAAGGTTGGAGGCTTGATCATGTACGCCGTGTCTTGTGTTTTCATGGTCAGTATCTTTAGGTTTGCCCGGCGCAAAACCATGAAGAAATATCAAGCCTGGAGGGCTTGGTGGAACAAAGAGGTAGACTTGAACTCCAACGGATATCTCAAGAGTCACTGACTTGAGCGCGGGTTGTTCTCTCTCAAGATTTAGTGTCGATAATTAGTCTGGGCTGCAACTCCAAGGTCTTGTTTGAATCACCAACAGAGTGAAGGGGCCAAGGCCCTTCATTGTAGGTAGATCACAGGACTAGGTCCGGAGAAATCCAGGCTCCATCTCCCTATTCAACCATGAACTTTGGTTGGCTGTGGGTGGACTTACTGCTACTCCAAGTCAACCCTCCTTCACAGAACTGTTGGAGGACGAAATGAGACAACGGCCACCGCTGATGTCCTAAGCAATGTGTGGAAAGGTGGAAGATAAGTATGGTCTGGAGAGATGCGTCCAGATGTCGCAAGCCAGAATCGTCGACTCCTGTTTCAGCCCAGTGCAAATGCTTGTGCCTAGTGGGAGTGCGTTGCACACCCTCCTACCGTGGGGGACTTTTTCTAACAATCTTTCTGTTTTTCAACATTAAGGCATGAGCCCAGTAGCCCAGGAATATTTCTAAAGAATCTCCTGGCTAGGTTGGCTGCCGCTACCCAATTTTTCCTGGTTTGGATTATTTTTCCTCTCTCTCTCTCTCTTGTTCTCTGTACCTGAGCTAAGGGGACAAGATGAAACATGGCTAAGATACAGAAGAGCATGGTCTATAAATGATTCAGAATGGGTTCTTCCTAGGTCTTCTTTGGATTAATGCCAGGGAAGGTAAGGATTGATGGCCTATAACCAGTTAGAGTTATAGGCCATCAATCCTTAGCTTCCCTGGCATTAAATACATAGAGATCTGTCTGTCTGACTGTCTACTAACTACTATCTATCTATCTATCTATCTATCTATCTATCTATCTATCTACCTACCTACCTACCTACCTACCTACCTACCTACCTACCTATCTCCTACTGGTATCTACCAATCTTTCAGTCCATCCATCCATCCATCCATCCATCCATCCATCCATCCATCCATCATCTACTGGTATCTACCAATCTGTCAATCAATCAATCTATCTATCTACCTACATACCTACATACCTACCTACCTACCTACCTACCTATCTATTACTGGTATCTACCAATCTGTCAGTCCATCCATCCATCCATCATCTACTGGTATCTACCAATCTGTCAATCAATCAATCTATCTATCTATCTATCTATCTATCTATCTATCTATCTATCTATC